TTTAACGTATTTACTCAAACAAAGGCTATTTATTTAAAAGAGAGGCTTATAAAAATAGTTTATGAAATACGTAAATTAGTGTGCGTCGTTACAGTTTTATTGTGTAGATTTTTATGACCTGTCACAGGGATCATCCTAGATTATTTTTAGTATAAATATTTATTACGGTTTAACAGGTAACGGAATTAATATGTTATTGTTGTGCGATACGGCAGGCTCTCCTTGAAGAAGAAACGAAGCAAAAGTTGGCGCTGCAGACGAAACTGCGCAATGTGGAGCAGCAGTTAGAACAGGCGCGAGACCAGCTGGATGAGGAAGAGGAGGTCAAGAGAAACCTCGAAAAGCAAGTAGTGGCGATGACGCAGCAAGTGGCGGAGGCGAAGAAGAAGGCGGAAGAGGAAGCTGAAGCTGCGCTGTTGCTCGAGGAGCAGCGCAAGAAGCTGACCAAGGACGTGGAGGCTCTGCACAGGCAGATCGACGAACTGCAGCAGGCTAATGACAAACTCGATAAGAGTACGTATTGCTCCCTAACTTAAAGTCAGTCTGAATTTCAGCGTCAAATCCCATATATTTTCGAAATCCGTTTCGTCTTTAAAAAAAATTAAACTTAGAAATGGATTTCATAATGTTTATGGAATTTGATTTTTCACTCTGAACATCAGACTGGCAAATATGAATATGAAATAAAAAAAGCAAAAAAAAAGAAAAGATTTGAAAAAGATTCTGGTAAATTATTAACAGATGTTATTCGTATGTTCTCCCGCTTGGCAACTCCGCAAATCCAAGCTTATGCCAGCCATAGTATTCACCTCGTTTAACACTTGATTGGTCATTTCATTGAAGAATTTTCTCATATGCAAATGTGCGCGCAGGCAAGAAGAAAGTCCAGCAGGAATTGGAAGACACGAACATCGACTTGGAGGCGCAGCGTGCGAAAGTGCTGGAGCTCGAGAAGAAACAGAAGAGCTTCGACAAGGTACGTAGTTGCCACTTAAGTTCAGAGAACCGTTTTATTCTTTTTTTGATTATTACAATGATAAGACAGTTAAGGTTCTCGATGGTAGTTAAGGTCCTCGATGGTGGTCAAGGTCCTTGAAGGTGGTTAAGGTCCTCGGTAGTGATTAAGGTCCTGTTTTCGCTGTGCAGGTGGTGGCGGAGGAGCGCGCCGTGGCCGAGCGGTACGCGGCCGAGCGTGACGCCGCCGAGCGCGAGGCTCGCGAGAAGGAGACCAGGGTGCTGTCGCTCACCAGGGAGCTCGACGACGCCGCCGAGAAGGTACGCCCCTGTTACTGTTTAGTAGCAGTAGAGCTCTTTGTAGAAGAGTTCGTCCACAGAAGTACTGCCACCGCATCTATTTCTGCTGACAAGCAGTAATGCGAGCACATCGAGTATATAACCAAAAATAGTGACGAAATGTCATTTAATTTCTTTGACAACTGTTCTGCCATTTCATTACTGCGATAACTGCGCTCCAATTGGCCAGCACGAATTCGAAACTATTGACGGGTGTCGTCGATTGTTTCACTTAAATCGACGAGTTAACTTCAGCTTCGCTATAATGGACGAAAATTGCAAAATTACTTATTTAATATTTAATTACCGATGAAAATTGATTCCGTTTGTTATATAATTAGATGTTTTGCTGTTTTTCCCCACACCACCAAATGAAACAGCACGCCATTGTTAGAGATATTATCTTTATTACAATAAATACAGAATATTTATATACGGAGACGTACACACAGTTCAGTTGTTGGCGCTGTCTATGTTTCAGTGCAAACGAGTATTTATAAGTGATGTATCACTGATGAGTTACCAGGGATGTATAACCCTTAATTCGTCTCTATTTCTGGTTATATACTCGACGTGTGAGCATCACTGTATTACAGTTTTGAAATGTAAGGGTGGCACACAGACTTTACAACTTACGTAGTGGCATTGCCCCTCAGATCTTTGCGATACAAAGCTCTGAGCGGCCCACGACTTGTTCATCACGTTGCTTGATATCACAATAAAAAAAACTTAATAGTAATATAATTATTTATTCAGACAACAAATTAAGATTTAGACTTACTATTTAAACTTAACGTTAAAGGTTAGTGAAAATAATAGGTAATTATTGAATTAGCTAATAAAATACAAACAAGTTACTGCTTAAAATCTTTATTTAGTCCTAATCAATCGTGTGTTATTTATTCACTTGAGATGGTATCATCGAAGATGCCGTTGATTATAGACTATTAATACTGAAGACACCGAGATGTATTTCGAGAAAAAGTGTAGACTTCTCAGCGGTATAAGCCATTAGTTATTTATTAATATAGGCCTAAAATTAGCTTTGATGCATAAACGTACTGTATTACACTGAAAAATGTATAAAAAAGCTCGTAGTTAGGTACTGTTGTTATGGTTTAAGACATTTATTTCTCAAATCAGAATACAAACATTTACTTACAATGAGAAATACTAGATAAATAAACTTACAATAACGAATGAGCATCGGAATCTTGCATAAATATATCAGAACAAAATCACGTTTTCACAATGCTGTTGTTTAGAGTTTTTGAAATAACCATGCTAGACATACATCAAGAATAAGAAGTTTTTTTTAGTGTAGGTAATCAGAAATATTTTATTTCTACAACAAGGGGATACAATACAATATTTCATTTGTACAATTGTTGTTCGGTATTAGACTCACAGTTCGACCAAATGAATTAATTTTGGTTAATCTAATTTTAGCTTTGATGAAAAACTTACAGCGTTTATTTGGTGCTACACTGACGCAATTTTACTTCTTGTAATGTTAAAGGAGATGGATTTGAATTTTTTTTTAAGTTAGTTTAAAATATATGACGTGTTAATAAAAATGTTGTGTATTTTTACAATACATATAAATTTAACATTTCTGCCGATTATTCTCCGAACGTAAATAAACACTCGTTACAGGTTTTTTTTGCCAAAATGTACAATTACGTCAATGTAGGTATTTAGGCACTTTAATTCAATAATGAACGCACAATTGGACCATCCGAATTCCAGATCGAGGAGCTGGAGCGCACGAAACGCCTCCTGCAGTCGGAGCTGGACGAGCTGGCCAACACGCAGGGCACGGCGGATAAGAATGTGCACGACCTGGAGAAGGCCAAGCGCGCGCTCGAGTCGCAGCTGGCGGAGCTCAAGGCGCAGAACGAGGAGATCGAGGACGACCTGCAGCTCACGGAGGACGCCAAGCTGCGGCTCGAGGTCAACATGCAGGCCATGCGGGCGCAGTTCGAGCGGGACCTGCAGGTTTGTACCAATTAGTTTTCAACAACAGACGTTGGCACAAACGTTAGTGGCGAATATAGACTTACTAATTTATTACTTGCACTTTGTAAATAGATATTTGTTGACAGTAGATAGATAGGAACAACCTAAGCTAAAGAATTGGAAACTTTTTCACTTCAAAATTAATAGACAATTGTTAGATAGCAATCTCATCCAGGCAACTTTGAGGTACCAGCATTAATTTGAATTTAACGCATGGTATTTTGGACAATTGTAGCGTTTGCCCGATTTAGTACAAGGATCATAGAAGGATTTTAATCGTGCAGGCCAAAGAGGAGCAAGGCGAAGAGAAGCGGCGCGGCATCGTGAAGCAGCTGCGCGACCTCGAAGCCGAGCTGGAAGAGGAGCGCAAGCAGCGGGCCGCCATCGCCGCCCGAGGGAAGAAGCTGGAGGCCGACTTGAAGGACGCCGAGCAGGCGTTGCATCTCGCTAATAAGGTACAGGCGGATCTACGTCTGTCGAAGACTCGAGTAAAAGAACGCGGGCTAACTTGTTACTCCCGTCATTTAATTTTGAGTCCTATAATCTAAACCATCGGTAGGGTCATAGAAAGGTGAAGGTTTGTCAAATCGTTCATCATATAGTTGACTGTGCTGTTACTTGGCTGGTTTCACCTGTGCGTACGGTCCGTAACAAAGATTTGTAGTATGGTTGTTAATATAAATATGCTATTACAAATACGAATTTATCGGAAAAATTCTGCATGATCGTAGCAAGCGGGAATACGAGTGTTCTGTCTACCGTAATGAACAGGCGTGACAATATCTGTAGGTGAGAGGTACTAAATACCGTTGATATTGCTATAACTTCGTTCAGATTTTTTTAGGTACAAATTTTTTAAACAAAGGTACTAAATAGTACAAATTAGGTATATTTTTTTATACCAAATTTGTCAGGATCCGTGAAGGTACACACGCCATTTTGACTCTCACCCAGGTTCGATTCCCGGGCCGGAAAAAATGTTTTGTATGGCGTACATTTCGACTCATCCGAAGAACAGAGTCTGTAGTGATTATACAGCAAAAATATGATAAATGCACAATCTCGTTATTCAAAATAAGGCCAATCAATATGTGTTTTCAGAATTATTATATCTTATTTCGTTTCGGAAACATAAAATCGAACAACAGTCGATCTGATACCCACAGCGAAGAATAACGAACGAAATGTACAATGTTCTAAGAATAAACTGTCTTACACATACGCCTTTGTTCTACGTATGAGTCGATTTATTTATCTCGCGAGTTTGAGTGTAATTTGTGGTTGTCTAATGTGTGTGCATGGCACTGCGTTATTTACCGTTGCGTAATTTTTAGCATTTTAAAGCAGTACTTGTAAAAACGATAAAACTGGATGGTTTCACGACTGTGCGTACGGCCTGTACGGACGCAGTGCTCCGAATCGAGTATTTAATGCCGCCCGTGACACTTGCGTGGTTTGCGCAGCTGAAGGACGACGCCGCGAAGCAAGTGAAGAAGCTGCAGCAGCAGCTGAAGGAGGCCGTGCGCGAGGCGGAGGAGGCGCGCGCCGGCAAGGACGAGGCGGCGGGCGCGGCGCGCGAGGCCGAGCGCCGCGTCAAGGCGCTGGAGGCCGAGGCCGTGCAGCACCAGGAGGAGCTGGCCGCCGCCGACCGCGCGCGCCGCCAGGCCGAGGCCGAGCGCGACGACCTGCTGGACGAGCTCAACAACTCCGCCAGCAAGGTGCGCCTTCCACTCACTCCTTCGCGTCTGACTTTTTCAACTGATATTCAACTATTTTGTATGTCCAATCACTCCCTAGGTTTCAAAATTATTAACACGAAGACGAAGAACAAACTACTGGAGTCATTTCACTTAAAAAATAATTGAACGGGGCTGGTAGCTGTAAGATTTGTCATTTTGTGTCATAAATTTCTCGTAGATGGCGCTACGGCTAAAAAGTCGTTGAAAAACCAAACACAAAGATACGATAACAAGCACATAGAAAAATTCGTGAGGTCCTCTGGTTCGTTTCATGGCTTATTCGTTGGGTCCTCTGGTTCGTTCCATGGCTTAGTTGGCATAGCGTCTGACACAGTTTGCTAAAAGACGTCGGTTCGAATCCGGCCGGATCGAACGAATTTTTTCTAAGTGTCCGATCTTTGTATTAATAATCATTATAAAAGGTTTCCGTTTTGTGCAAGCTTTTGAAATGGGATAAGTAGTAGTAAGATAAACATTTTTCATTTGATTCAATAATAGTGGTAGCAAATACGCTTGAGAATTTTGTTTCACGTTATTTATTGTGTGTACAAAATTACTATGGCGCCTGATAAAAGCCCAAAATTTCCCTGTGCCTAGTGCTAATTAACTCAAATATATTGACCGCAAAAACACCATATCTACCGACAGTAACAATCGTTGACACGGCCAACTTTTAAATTGTTCTGTTCATCCCAGGGCACGTTATTAGTAGACGAAAAGAAGCGGCTGGAGGCGCGGATAGCGGCGCTGGAAGAGGACCTCGACGAGGAACAGTCCAACAACGAGATACTTAACGACAGACTTAGGAAAGCACAGGTAACATTCTCCTATGCTCCGCATTATGATTATAATTCAAATATATTTCAATGTTGAACACAGTTACTATTGGGCACAGACGATGCCTACTGTATTTTCAAGTGTTTTTTTTTGTACGTTGTTAGTGTGTGTTATTGTGTCATAAATTAAAAAATAAAATTAATTAGCGCAAACATTCACTATAGCGATGTCTTCTTCAATTGCCAAGCGAATGATTACAATAAAAGAGGAATCAAATGCACAGAAGATGCTGGCAGTTTCTAAATTTATTTATCTGTTTCATTGTTCTTGATTAGCTCCCACTAAAAAAGAGCCAGATTTGAATAAAGATTTTAAATAGAAAACCGTGAGACTCAGACATATTAACTAAAATAATATATTTAAGTCGAGTTTTTGCTCGACATATTTCGAACCAATTCGTGATCCTTAATCATGAGATTCCGCGGCGGTGACTCGACGGAAACTGAATAATGATAAAATAATGAATGAAAAAAGATATTTATTTATTTATATTAAGGATAATCTACATATAAAATACTACAAGTGAAATAATGAACCATATAAGCTTAGAAAGTAATTGCATTTTCACTTAACAAACCTCATAGCGCACAGTGGCAACAATATATACAATGAAACTATTTCCAAATTTGATCTTGTTCTGCAGAACCAAATCGACCAAGTGACGATGGAGCTGGGCACGGAGAAGTCGGCGACGCAGAAACTGGAAAGCAGCAAACTGGTGCTCGAGCGGCAAAACAAAGAGCTCAAAGCTAAACTGGCCGAACTCGAGACCGCGGCGCGCACCAAGACCAAGGTACCTAGTTTTTATTGCTTGAGCGTATGCTACTTTGGCAATTCTGAGCCGAAACGCTTTCGCTCGGTTGTGAGGCTTAATTACGTGTTCTTGCAAATTCTACAGTTTCTTGCTCATTCTACTCAATGAAATCTGTCTTACGAATGCGCAGTAGAGTTTAATCAATATGACGATTTCAAGCATTGACTTACAATTATATGAACGTCGGGTCCGCGCTAAAAAGTGTCCGAACTTATAGGGCGTTAACATCGTATACAGAGCGTCATTCACGCTTTAGTCTTCGTTTGTTCGACTGACAGCGAAGCAAGCAAAATTAGACAGTACTGCGATGACATTACAATTTAAATTCAACGTTTTAGCATTTTCATATTCCTTTACATGTCACTACGTTTAAATAGGTTGACTTGGGACATTTTTTTCGTGGTTTTTGTATTAGACCCGTCGTCCATTTATTTGTAAGTCAATGATTTCAAGTGTAATTTGCTTACCTATGAAATAAAACATTGTTTGACTTTGACTTTGTCCAAATTGAGGCCAAGTTACGCGTAAGGATCAGCGCAAACCGGCGCACTACATGACAGGTTATTAAATTTATCAATGTGTATAAATTTCAATGCTCTGGAACCGATCTCGGAGTATCGCAGCACATAATTAAGTATGAGTAAAATGACATTTGTAGGGTTGCCAGTTTCATAAAATTTTAAATAGTGATGTAATTTTTGTCGATAGTTTTATCGATAGATTGTGAAAAAAGATAAAATTTTGCCAAAAATGACTGAATTGTGAATGTTACGACGTCCTAATGATTACTGCGTTATTGCGTTCTTTATTCTTATTTTGACAGTTAGTCTAGTATAATAGTATCGAGATAAATTTTTATTCATATACATTTTTACAAGAATAGCCGGATTTGATTATCTATATTGAATTAAAAACTTTAAAATATGTCTCCTCTTTGTATTTTTCATAAACATCTAAATACAGTGTATGTATGTACATATGAACGTACAAAAATTGACAATTTAAATGAACTTGTGCTCAATATTTGGATGAATAATGGGTCGAGGACGATTCAAATGAAACAAGTTCGGCTATTTATTCCATAAGCGTGACAAATATTCAGTCGATTGTCGATAGAATATTTATCGACTGCAATCATTATCTGCTCGCAAGCGGGCAACACTTTACGCAATGAAATGTCATTTTACTTTGTCTTCAAAAAGGACAGACTGTAGTTACTATCATACTGTTATTTTGTGTAAAGGTCACTAAGTAAGACTGTCGTATTAGGTACAACCCTTAGGCGATTATCACTGCACCGCGCGCGTGACGCGGAGTCACGCCCGCGGTGGCGGAGACGCAGATCTGTGTCCACACGCGGCGTAATCTGCGCGGGGGCAGCTGTCCAGCGGCCCCGCGTCACTTAAAGTGCTCGCTTCGCAGTTGATCGCCGTAGTGATTGTATATGTAGCCGAGATCCTTCTTTGACAAGAACGGTTAATAATACAGAACTCATTCAGGACGCTGCAGTTATACTGTCTATTCGGTTTTTGTTTACTCAAATAAAAAGACACCGAAGATGTTGGGTACATCCCTTATTACGAACCAGATCGATAAATGGATAATTTCAACTTCATTTCAAAGATTTAAAAAAATTTGAAGATAAATTTGGTCGATTTTCAATGGCAAATATAAATTTATCGACGTCGAGGTCTATTGTAGAAAACTGAACATATCCTTAGTTTAAAAATCTGCGCGGTAATGTGGAGAGCAGTGTGCCATACACTCCGGTACGCCGCGCCCATCCGCGCAGGGGCGCGGAGAAGCGTTGTCAGTGTGTTCGACGGCGCGTGTTTTCCATACAATAATAATTTCCGCGTCTCGTGTCTTCTGTCTTGCCATCCGCTGGTTTTCGCTGGCCCTAAGTCTTCTGTTGGAATGTCTCGCGTAATTTGCGGAATTCGCACAATGTTGATATACAAAAAAAATTCACGTCTGAAATAAATTTGAAAACGTTTAAACAAACCACTTTAGAGCAATATTTGTAGCCAGTGGGCCTCCTTTCGATATCCGTCTTGAATCTTCTTCGAGTGCGACTTATTTGGCAATAATTGTTTCGGACGTATGTCGGTCGGAGAATGGGGAATAAACCCCCAGAGACAGAGTTAATTGAAATAAATAGGCAGCAGCTCAAAACGGAGAGACCATTCTATAAATATAATATAATCATTGTGTTTACCTTTACAGGGAGTAATAACGTCCTTGGAGCTGAAGGTGGCGAATCTGGAAGAGCAGCTCGAGGCGGAGTCGCGCGAGCGTTTAGCGCAGCAAAAGGCGTCGCGTAAGCTCGACAAAAAGATGAAGGAGTTCACTCTCCAGCTAGACGAGGAAAGGCGTCATGCGGACCAGTACAAGGAACAGATCGAAAAGGTAAACCCATTTATCGATTGTAATTTGCGGTCGCTACATACCACCATGAATGGTAACTCAAGGGGATTGCTAATCTCCATACTACAGATATAAATAATAACTTAGACGCTACAAATGCCATCGCGAATTTTTTAGATATTCGTTATAGAATTCGTGGTATAATATTTACATCTGTAGTAGCAGCACACTTTGTTAAGTTATTAAAATTTAGTAGGCACTGTTCTTATTTCTCATTTATAAGCTAGGTTTTTAACTAGGTTTTTAAGGAGGAGTTATTTTTGTATGTATGTTACGCGATAACTCCGGTATTTGTGAACCGATTTTCAGGATTCTTATTTTGTTGGAAAGGGGTACTTCCATAGTGGAACCATTTCATTTTGAAGAAAATGATCCACCTCGAAGGGTGGCTGTTCACGCATGAAGATTCATTTTCATAAATAGCGCCTAACATTAATTTAGGAGCAATTACTTTAATGGTTGATTTTGCTATTTCTCCAATTCAAGGCGTTTTTCTCTCAATATACTTTGAGTAGTGAGAACCGATTTTTATTATCTCCAGTGTCAAGTCCTGTATAGTGGCGAACTAACTTAGCAAATAGACGTAATTCCACGTACTTTTGAGGTCGGTTTTATTAGTACTCTGTACAGAGATTATCATCTTAAACAATATTCTGAAAAATATGTTGGACTGATTTGTACTCGGCAAACTCTATTGTCGGGCTTATTATTATATATTTATTATATTATTATTAGATCTGTTTTTATTTATCCTTCAGAGCTGCACGATACAATCTTTGTGATATAGATTTTGTAACATGTTTCAGAATAGGGTAACTTGAAAATGCAAACAGATAACATTGATTGATTGATTTGTTTAACACAAACTGAGCGTACGTTAAGAAATTATTATGTAATTCATTTTATATTACTAAAGCGAGCTTAAATTTGCCTAATGTTACATTGTGTCATGTGTGTGTGAACAATGTCATTAGTTGTTTAGTGTTGTCAATGCTGTATTTTGCTATTGTATTTTTATTAGTAGGGAACTGTTTTTGCTTATAACTACTTAATATAGTTTCTATTACATTGTGATACAATCTGTTTGTACCCTCAAAAGTAAAATAAATAATTAATCTGCCGCCGTTAGTTGAAAGTAAGCATGTGACATTAAAAAAAAATGTTATGTATACTGCCGTAATCAGTAAAAGAACGCCGTAAAGGAAGGTATTTTTATTTTTTCCTAGGTTACCGCAAGAAAAACGAGATATTTTTTTACTTTAATTTCTTTAACCATTATTTTCTTGGTTTTGAGTTTTTCTCACAAGCGGCAGTAATATATTAGACATAACTGGTTGATGACTTTATCAATTCAGTAAACCGTGGCCATGAGACCAGTAAACGGCCCAAAACGTTGGTTTGTTTGAAAATACAAATATACATATTATCCACGATTTGGATCCGCATAAAATGTACCAAATAAAACTGTTTATCGTTTTACACGTCAATTTGAATCGTACATGATATGTACGATATTTTTTTATATCTGTCAGTATCTCAAAGTGTACTTTTCGAATTTTGTTAATTTATTATTGAGAGTGCAAAATTATCTCCTCATATTGTCACAATATGAAACAAGAATTATATTCTATTATTTCCAGTAATACTTTCAAATCCTTCAAAATTGTCTGTACTGAATTCTAGCAAGGTAGGGAAGTTTTAGTTATTTTGAAGTGTAACGATCTCGGCCTGCGACAGATGAACGCGCGCGTGAAGGCGCTGAAGCGGCAGCTGGACGAGGCCGAGGAGGAGGTGCAGCGCGAGAAGGTGGGCAAACGCAAGGCGCAGCGCGAGCTGGAAGACCTGCTGGAGACACACGAGACTCTCGCGCGCGAATGCACCAACCTACGGAACAAACTCAGGTACCACCACTTTTTCACATCAACTACATACTTGTAACAACCGTCAAATTTAATTTTAACCGTCCAACCTACCTGGACACTAATTTTCGTAACTAATTTAAGCCTACAATTTGGCGATGTCCAGGACGTATAATTTATTGTGAAACTCAGTTTTAGTATGGGCTATGCTGGTATCTGCTAATGAGTAGATTTCGATCCCTACTGTTGTATCTAAATTTTAATTTGTTCATCGAATTATCCCCTAGTAAAAATACAACTTGAAGACGGTGTAAACTATGCCCAATAAACATTGTACAGCCTAATTTAATGTTATTACGTTTGAATTAATAGGTTTGTTAAAATTAATTTGTTTTTAAGTCAAATTAATTTTATAATTACTGTATTTATTTTCATATTATTTTACAATATGTAAATATGTACATATATTGTCTATAGGATAACGATCTCGGTGAGCGGTAGTAGTGACAGTGATTAGTCGAGCGCGCGACGAACAAGGCAAGGAAGTGACTGTCGTCACAGAATTAACTTACTGTCATCGAGAATGATGTTCACACTTGTTGCCTCTTCATGTCTAGAGTCATATGGAACAAGGCCTTTTTCCGGTGTCAATTTCTTGGGTTGTAACACAAAAACTTAATTACGTTACGTACTATTAACACCATATCTATATCATATACATTTCTATCATAGTAGTCTTTGAATCTTGATTTTAGATAGTGTTCCAACCTTGATTTTAATAGTGTTGCAACGTTCATTTTAATGGTGTTCCAATCTTGACTTCTAATTCTTCCAGACTCCATTTTAATAGTATTCCAGTCTTCATTTTAATAGTGTTCCAATTTTGATTTTAACAGTGTTCCAATTTTGATTTTAGCAGTATTCAAATCTGACCTTAACAGTGTTTCAATATTGATTTAAACACTAATAGTGTTCTAATCTTGATTTAACAGTGTTCCAATCTTGATTGTAACAGTGTTTCACTCTTGATTTTACCAGTATTTTCATGTTCTAATCTTAGTTTTAAAGTTCCAATCTTATTTTTAATAGCAGGACACTATTCTTATCTTGATTTTTAATAGTGTTCTAATGTTCCAATCTTAATTTTTAATAGTGTTCCAATGTTGATTTTAACAGTGTTCCAATCTGTATTTTAATAGTGTTCCAAATAGCCTGAATAACTTTACGACATGACGTACTTTTAGGACTCCACATAACAACATTTTATTTAATTACATTTTTGAGGGATGATTCTACCTATTTACTGTTTTCTTACCTATTCGACAAAAACGAATGAGACAACAGATTTTATTTTTCCGATTTGACGTGTATTTCCTAGTGTTAAAAATTGTTTATATTAATGGGTAGAAACATACCCTAGAATATCGTGAATAAAAAAACATCGGTCTGCGTAGTTTACCTTAACCAATTGCCATGGCAATGAACTGCTTTATCTATATGACTCTACGATGCAAAGCGTGTTTCAAACTTTCAGCACATCTTCGTCAATGTAGGAAACATTGGTATAACAAATCTAACAACGCATTGTGCAACTAAATTTCATTTATGAAACTAATTGGCATTTTTTTGGCGTTTAAGTTTGATTCAATTAAAAAGAGCTGGGCGACACGGGAAAAACGATGTACCATCCAAAAGATGCTCACATATACTGGCACCATATTTTATTCCCATACATTCATGTACAAACAAATAATTCTGAATTAAGACTAGTTGATATCCATCGTTATTTGAAATACATACAAAACATAGTGGAAATTGAAATACTACTTTGGCACTTACGAACTTTTGAACTTCATTAAAATTTAAAATTTGTCCTATAAGTCTGGATAGAAAAAATGTGTAATAAAATAACCAACACTTTAAATGTCTTACCTAAAAGTTGTAAAATACAAAATAGCTTGTCGTTTTTTATATGTTTTTATTCAATTTGAAATCATTAACCTGAAGTTTATGAATCTAGGTAAAAAAAATTTAAACTAATAAGTTTTTTTTATTCCATTTTGTATCAAATATTTATATTTATGTTTACTGCCAGTGTTTTTTCCAGGCAGGAGTGCCAGATAGGATAGGATTGTTCAATTTTGGCTGCTGTGTCCCTGTTCGGACATGTAGTTCTGTTTTTGATAAATTTGGGATAAGATACATTGATGTTTAAAACAAAATGGCATGACTTTGTTTGGGTAATTTAAAGCGCATGTTTGTTTCTACAATAACGCCATGTTATTGTGGGTGCGTTTAACATACAATATCGCGTTACAGACGGCAAGGCGGTGGTCCCATCGGGCTGTCCAGCGGGTCGTCGGGGGCGCGCATAAAGCGGTCGTCACTCGCGCCCGGCGGCGGCGGCTCCGGCGACGAGTCCTTCGATGACGGCAACGACACCATCAACAGCGTCGAGTAGACACGACCCTACAGACCACGTACTGGTTACACAAGAAACTGCAACTCCTGACTCTCGACACACCGACCGATGCGTCGTTTATCGTTGAATGTGTTTATATAAAATGTATATGAATTTGTTGATTGTGCTGTGCTCAACGTGTAGCGTGAGTCACACTTTAAGGCGGGACCGCACCAGGCGGAAGAGCGCAGCAAAATATATGTAGCTTGAGCGACGTTTTTTAAGCTGTAATACATTACGCTGCAGCAGCGTTTATGGTACAAACAGCGTTTGTGAGACAATCTGTCAGCTCTTTAGTGCGGTGGAGTTCCGCCGAGTGCGATTCAAATTTGATCACAAAAAATTGTCGCATTGTCCTACCGCCTGAGAAATTGTGAAGGGACTTGATTAAGTAATAAACGATTTTAAACATTTTTAACGCGTGACAAATTAGATACTGTACAAGTCCCTATACTATTTTTTTAAGAATTTTGAAATGTTCATATTGTAGTTAGTTTTTTATGTAACCGTTATGTGCGGTAGTCGTCGACGTCGTATAATGTCGATTCGAGGCAGATTGTATGGAGCAACAAGCCGAAATAGTTGCTTGAGAACTGAGAGCGTACATCGGCGTACCTTACCTTTGTCTGTCGCTAATCGCGGAATTTCAATCCCTATCCTCAATGAACTTTTTGAGTACATTTAATTAATTTAAAATAAAACAGGTGCTCAATCCCCTTACAGCATTTACAGTCAGTGAATCTCTGCAAATACAATTGGAGCATTTTCACAGTATTAACGAAACATTCCTATCAATCGAGATATTAAAATTGTATCTAGACTAGGTCGATGTATAATGTTAAATTAATCATTTGGTGATAATTGTAATGAAATTAAACTAAAAGGTATTATTAAAAAAAAGTTATTACAATTAGAGGCCGGCTCGATTTTGCATTTACGCGACTGAGTGACAACGACTCGCAACAATAGTGCCTCACTGATTTGCAGCGAGGCTCCCGACATGTAAATAATTCAGTGTCACCCGCTGACCGCTTAGTTGCCATACAAATTTTAATGATAGTTGTTTATGTAAGGAACTCGGAAGCTGCGCCCGAGACGTGATGGCGCCGTTTGTTCCCTTAGCCATCTGCACAAGTCGTGCTCGGCTAAGGGCGCATTGCGATGGAAATTTGCACCGAATGGGTATAAAAATAACGCATAAATTATAAGAGCCTCAAAGCGTTGCCACGCTTTTTTCGGATAGCTAATCGCGAGCGCCGCCTCGTCTCGAGGCAAGAATCACGGCTTGCTTTATTATAGGCTTAGGTAAGACTTGTAGTAATAAATCGTGGCCTTAGGATTTTTTATCATGGACTATACGTAATGCGATTCTGCCTCGTGTATCGGAGGCGTAACCACTTAAAAACTACATTTGTATCTAAAATTACCTTCGTATCGTGCGAGCATTTTATATGACCATTTACAGAGTCTAATGACCTCCTCTTTTTAAAATATATAGGTATCTGAATAATAATATAAAATTTAAATGTAAGTAAACCATTGAAGCATAAACATATTTTACATAAATATTATATTTAATAATTAACAATATTGATAATTGTAAAATTGGCCATAGGTTGTAACAAGTTATCAGTTGGAATGCCAATTAAACAATTTTTCATGATTTTTAACAAGATTGTTTTATTTATGAACCCATTTTTCTTCTATGTTTCACCCAGAATCAACATACCTACAGCAAGCATTGATTTGTTTGTTAGACTGCCAACAGATAAACTGCACGTCTGCAGTTAATAGTGCAGTCATAGATTTGTACGTATATACTAAATCTATGAGTGCAGTCGAGACGAGACGAGAGAGAGAGAGAGAGAGGGTAATATATGTAGTATAAAAATACAGATTTATTATATCAATATAATGAAACGCCATGACTTCGTGAGCTAGTAGACAAGGGTTCGCGAATTTTCTATTCGTATTGCCATAAATATTACGTAGGTAGTGAGTAATAGAGGGCTGTAGCTCAGACGCATTGCGAGAGGTACTTTTAATAATATAAAACCGGGATCATCTTAAAACTTTGGTTTATTTTACCAATTTCCATGTTTAGGGTTACAAATCAATAATCTTACTATTAATGTCAAGATCTTCTATTTTCTTAACATTCTTTTTCAAAGCATTCTAATTATGAATCTCACTCAGCCAGTGATTCTACTCATAGAGTACAGCCTAGTCTACAGTACATATAATTATTAACTAAACTTGGACATGCAATTTCAAATACCTTGGGGACCTTATTTAAAAGTACATGTCCGAAATATAACATTTTAAGTGCTTTTAATATATTTTTTAAATAAATCTTCAATATTACTCTAATTAGTGAATTAATGAAAAATATAATAATATATCGATGTAAATACTTAATAGACATATATAATTATTAGGGTTCTATTAATAGAATCATAGATAACAGATTCGCGTTAGAATTTTCGCTATGTTGCCTACGTTCCCACTATGTCGTCACATTTTATTATCGTTGGACGACTGTCGTGTCTAGCCTGTTCCCATATCACGACTACTCCCATACTACTATTTATTCACTGAACATTGATATAAAGTCTTAATTTGGAAAGATCCTAGAGAAGGAAAGATGTAAAAACTGACACTAAAAACCTACTTTTTTTAAGTGACGAAATAAAAAAAACATTTTGTTTGCGCAAATACGTAGAACGCAGATAGAAAAATATAAAGAATCTTCTGCGATTCGGTATTTCGGTCGGTTTCGGAATCGAAATTCCATTTAATTGATAGTGTTACAATTTAAATCAAATCAAAGTGATTTTTTTCATACTGGCACAATGAAATTAAAATGTCTCTTGCGGTGCGATGTCAATGTCAAATCAAACATCAGTCATGCCAAAGCCGTTATACTCTACTTAAAAAAAAAGTCAGTCAGTCAGGTCAGGTCAGTACTCCGTTGTAAGAGTTTTCCGCGAAAATCGAACAATAGTGAATGAAAACCATATGAAAACCGCAACCGATTCTTAGATAATCGAACACGTATTTCATTAATATACTCTTACTAAATACTTAACCATTCGTTCGTGCATTTCTGTTTAAAATGATTCACGATATCGGGGAATATTTTGACACCGCCCTGGCGCTCGTTAAAGCTGCGGGAAACCTTATGACTGAGCATGTAAGTGGCTGTAAGAAATTCGAGTTGAAGTCATGCGCTATTGATTTAGTTACAGAGGTAGATAAAAAAGTGGAAGAGACCCTTATAAATGGGCTCTCCAACAAATACCCCACTCACAAGTTTATCGGCGAGGAATCTGTCGCAGAAGGCACCAAGTGCGATTTTACTGACGATCCAACGTGGATTATAGATCCTGTAGATGGTACCATGAATTTCATACACGGGTTTCCTAACAGTTCAATTTCAGTTGGGCTTTGCATCAACAAGGAGAGCGTGTTAGGTATCATTTACAATCCTATGTTAAATCAGCTCTTTACTGCTCAGAAAGGCAAAGGTGCATTCTACAACGACAGACAGATACATGTGTCTAATGTTAAGCTGTTGAAAGAAGCGCTGGTGACATTTGAAGCTGGCACAAGTAATGCGGAAGAAAAACGTCAAGTTGTATTTCAAAATTTTGAAATAATGGTGCGTAACGCACATGGTGTGAGATGTTTAGGGTCTGCCGCACTTAACATGGCTATGGTTGCTTTAGGAGGGGCTGATGTTAACTTTGAGTTTGGTATCCATGCGTGGGACATTTGCGCTGGAGATATACTGGTACGAGAAGCAGGTGGAGTGTGCATAGACCCAGCTGGAGGCCCATTCGACATCCTATCACGTAGAGTACTCTGTGCCAGCACACCAGAGCTAGCTCAAGAGGTTGCTAGTACAATAGTTCAATTGTATCCAGAGAGGGATTAAAAGTACTTAGCAACATGAAAACGGTACTTAAAAGTTATATTTACATTATACGATTTTGACCATGCATTGTTTTGTTGGTACATTAAAATTAGCCAAATTTTATAAGATTTGTAATAAATATTCTCTGGACAGATTTTGAATGTATTGATTTTCAGTGCCAAACAATTTCTGTTCCAATACAATGAAGTTGATTTTTTTTTGTGTTTTCTTAAGTGAAATAAGCAATGTTATAACAACTTATGTACTTGGTACTTGGTGTAACGGGCTGGTGTCCGCAACTCGACGACAAGGCGCCTATTTTGCGTGTTACAACTTATGTAATTGAAACGTACATATAACTGAATTACTATTTAACGTAAGTGTTTATGATGTTTTTGTTATAAATGTATAGTTTATCATTGAGTAAATATTGTATGAGTTGATACTGTTAGAAAAGGAGCTAGATCTTGTTGTAAATTATGACTTACTTTGTCTTGTTGTTGTAAACTTGTTATTTTTTTAAATAATCTAAATGAAATACTATTAGATAGTAGAGATTAGATGAACTCATTTTCATTTTTATTAGTATTTATTTTATACATTAAATATTCTCATTCAAGCTATTTATCGAAAACCTACTATTGACTATGTGCACACAACACTTCTTTTATAGTATTTACAATATCAGTTCTTAACATAAATAGTACACAGCTGGGCATAGGCATCTTAGTAAATTCAAACGTACAGTAAATGTTTCAAAGAACATAAATTGCATTAAAGCCTAAATACCAGTATAGTTATTTCTCATTTTAATTTGAACCACATTGTTAACAAGACTGTTTGTTGTATAAGTAGAACCGCAGTCTATTTCTGGGAACTGCTGTAAAATGTGAAATGCTCTCAACATGTTACAAAATTATAAGGAACTAGTTTCTTCTGACAAAACATGAGATCATGGCAAAAGTCAACAGTAATTCTTCTAAAATTCATCATCGTCGCTCGACTTGATACGTAAACCACCCTTTGTTTAACTTCCGCAACAAAATATTCATTTAAAGTGCTAATATTGATCTGTTTTCTTGTGAAATGTTTGTAAAAGTGAAGTTTACATAGTTATTAACACTAACAGTGAAATATCTACAAAATAAACCAACAAAATATTCGATAAATTAAAGAACTAAATTTCAACAATACGAAACAGCTGACAAACTGCATACTGACTGATTAGTGCTAGTGTGGTAGAAATTCGGACTTCCGTGTCCACTGCGGACGGGTCATATTAGCGTGCGTGCAGTGTTGGAACCGGTTTCCGTGTCGCGCATCATAGAGTAGACACTACGGCTGGCATTTATATCTAACCATAGCTGCGTTGTCTCTCAGAGGACAAAACTTGCCACTACTATGTCTTCAGTAAAAAAGTGTGATGGATGCCACGAACCCGTGGAGTTAAACAGGTTTATGACCTGTTTCCAGTGCAAGGCATATTATGATCTTTTGTGTGCCAACATTCGTCAAGAGCGTTTCAATTGTATGCGCACTGAGGAAAAGCAAACATGGATTTGCCAATACTGTTGTAGTAAAGCACCGAAAGGCGACAACACAAATACGCCAATTCGACAAAACCAGGAAACCGCAAAGAGGGTTGGCAACTCAGCACCGATTGATAGGTCGGCTGGATGGGACGACCGGGTTAATGTAACTCTTAGACATAAAAATACCAAAAGCCCCGATGTCGCCCGTGAGACAGAAGATATGCATCCTGATATGGAAAAAAGGTTACGTGCGATCATACGTTCAGAGTTTCAGGCGACATTACAGATAACGATGGAGAAACTTATCGCTAAGGAAATGCAACCAGTAAATAAAATGCTCATGGAATTTAGGGAATCGGTGGATTTTTTCAACAACAAGTACGAGGAGTTGAGGTCAATTGTGGAAGAGCGAAATGCTTCTATACATAAACTAGAAGTACACACCACCGAGCTGCAGTCTACAGTAACTGACCTCACCCAAAGACTAAACCGTGCAGAGCAGCATCTACGCGAGAACAATGTGGAAATAAATGGAGTTCCTGAGCATAAATCCGAGAATTTGGTGAGCACTATTATGCAGCTATCATCAACTGTAAACGCGCAGCTTAAGGATGAGGATGTACTCAACGTAACACGTGTAGCCAAACTTGACAGAAATAGCAATCGTCCACGCAGTATCATTGCAAAGTTCCGTAGCGCACGTCAACGCGACTGCTTCCTAACAGCTGTCGCGAATTATAACAAAAGCCATAAAGAGGAAAAGCTGAATACTCGTCACTTGGGTATCGCCGGTCATAGGTCTCCAGTTTTTGTCTCCGAACACTTAATTCCGAGTACGAAAGCTCTTCATGCTGCTGCCCGAGTTAAAGCTAAAGAAATGCACTATAAATTTGTGTGGGTACGTAACGGTAGGGTGTATGTAAGAAAAAACGAAGAAAGTGGAAAAGCAGTTTTTATCCGTAATAAAGATTGCTTAAACTTTATTATTTGATTAATATAATTTTGAAAGTCGCCTTAATATTTATTTGAAAATGCTTGACATATACTATCAAAATACACGTGGTATAAGAACGAAAACCGATGATATATATAGTCAGATCTTGCAAAGTAACTATAAAGTTATTATATTCACAGAAACATGGTTAAACTCTAACATTCATGATAGCGAATTCATAGACTCTAGATACAAAGTTTATCGTAGGGACCGCCCAATAGCTAGGGGTTGTAAGCGGGATGGAGGTGGAGTCTTGATAGCCGTGTCAAGAGATGTAGAATCAGACCGCATAGCAAATTGGGAAAGTGATTGTGAGGACCTCTGGGTGACTGTACGTGTTAAAATTAATAATATACCAAAAAAGATAGCCCTCTGTGCATTATATTTACCGTCACCTGCAAAGCTTGAATCTTTAAAGGAATTCATTAACAATGTAAACAACGTATTGACTAACAGTATTGATGAGATAATTGTACTGGGAGATTTTAATTTAAGTTTTATAAATTGGTCTTGTGAGGGAACCGGTAATTTTGGTTTAACCCCTTCAAATTATATTAATAATATTATGGGCTGTACTTTGGTTGATTTCTTAAATAGTAATAATTTATATCAATTAAACAATTGTTTAAATCGAGATGGTAAAATTCTTGATCTTGTGCTGAGTACTCTAACAAATGTGAAAGTAAGTACAGCACAGGATCTACTTAGTAAGCTTGATCACTATCATCCCAATTTGCTTATAGATGTTGTAGACTCCCACTCACGCTGTCCTGCTTACCTTCAGGAAACTGCTAGGTCAGCTTATAATTTTTACAAGGCAGATTATAATGTTGTGGTTACGGAGCTTGTTGGGGTCAATTGGAGTTTTGAATTTGACAACTGTGCTGATGTAAATGAAATGGTTTCAGTATTTTACGGTGTCGTTAGGGGGATCATTCATAGAATTGTTCCTAAGAAACGGACTAGCAAAGGTAAATATCCCCTCTGGTTTCCAAGAAGTCTTATACAACTATTAGCTACAAAGAATAAAATTAGACAGCGTTACCGCAAATACAATAATCCAAGGGATAAATTTGAATTCGATCTACTCCGTGAGCAATGTGGCAAATTACTGCAAAATTGTTACAAAAGGTATAGGACCAGAATTGAGACTGGAATACGGGAACATCCTAAGCTCTTCTGGCGCTATATTAAGGACAAGCGAGGAGGTAGTTCGTCTTTACCAAGTTCTATGTGCCTGAATTCGATCACTGCCAATACTGGACCCGAAATAGCTAACTTGTTTGCTGACAATTTTTCATCAGTGTACACGCCTCACGTCATAAATTCCGAATCAGTTCAATCGTTCAATCGTCAAATATTGCCCCACCCCCAATTTACTTATACAGACTTACTTAAAAAGTTAAAAAATTTAGATATCAACAAAGGTTCAGGTCCAGACGGCATTCCACCATACTTCCTAAAACAATGTGCAGAAGTCCTTGCTTCTCCTCTGACAAAGATTGTTAATCGTTCTCTGAGAGATGGTAAATTTCCCGATGAGTGGAAAAAGGCGAGAATTATTCCTGTCTACAAAAAGGGGGATCAAAGGGATATCAAAAATTACCGCCCTATATCCATTTTATCGTGTTGTTCGAAGATCTTCGAGTCTTTGGTTTATCCATTACTCGCGAATCATGTTAAAACAGCAATAACTCCATCTCAACATGGTTTTAGACGGGGTTTGTCGGTTGAAACAAATTTGACCGACTTTTTGTCGGATCTCACGTCTGAGATTGATAAAGGTAGACAGGTGGATACTATCTACACAGACTTCAGCAGCGCATTTGATAAAGTCCCTCACTCTTTATTATTGCTTAAACTTGAATCGGCTGGTGTAACTGGGTCTCTACTAGACTGGTTCCGTACATACTTAGGCTCGCGAGCTCAAAGTGTCTCTATTGCAGGCAGTGATTCTTACACTTATTACACAAAATCTGGAGTCCCGCAAGGATCGCATCTGGGTCCTGTCCTTTTTATAATTTTTATTAACGATATTGTTACTCAAATCCGTCACAGTAAATTTTCTTTATATGCTGATGACCTAAAATTATATAATACTGTGAACAATTTACATGATGTCACGCTGCTCCAAAGTGATCTTAATAGAGTTAGAGAATGGTGTGTGGGCAATGGAATGGTGCTAAACAGCAAAAAATGTTTCCACATAAAGTACACTAAGAAAATAAATCCTATCCCGTCACACTATAACATTGATAACACCGTCATAATGGAGGTATCAGAGATTCGCGATCTCGGTGTTGTGTTGGACAGTCGACTCGATTTCATCTCACATATTGACGCTATGGTGAAGAAGTCAGCACGGATGATTGGTTTTATAAAGCGAAATACAAAGGGATTCAAAGCTTATACCAAAATTGCACTATTTAATAGTTTATGCCGCAGTGTTCTTGAATTTGCTTCTGTTGTCTGGAATCCATTATATGCTGTGCATTCACAGCGCATAGAGAGCTTGCAGCGAGCCTTTACGAGACATGTGGCATACATTTCGTCAGGTATATCTCATAGGAGCCCATATGACCAGCGTCTCTCTTTCTTTCAAATTGTGTCTCTCCACGAGCGGCGAAAAATTATTGATCTTCTTTTTTTGTACAAGGTTGTGAATGGAATTATTAGTTGTGACCAAATCCAAGAACGCATAAAAATCTGTGTTCCATTCAACTACCCAAGACATAGGATAACAAAACTTTTTTATGTGCCGTCTTGTCGTACAAATCTACTCCTAAACTCACCCTTGTGTAGAATGTGCCGTTCTTACAACGCAGTTAATAATTGCAACTCCAGTGATCTTGACATTTTCTATGACTCTTTTTACAAATTTAAATGTAAGTTGCGTACCCCTACTTGTTAACATATTATTAGGAATTTATTATCTTTATTGTTAATTTATTTCAATAATCTTAATTTATAATACATTATCATATTTAGTTCAATCAATAATTTAAATTTGATTTTACAATTAATTATTTCAATTATGTATAGTTTAGTAATGATTTTTTGAATTTTTATTATTTTAATTTCATTTGTATTTTTGCTATTTTATTATATCAAAATACCTTGTGAGAGATGTGGATACCTGTAATTGGCTTACACATAAGAACTGTGCCTTAATATTATTATTTAATTGATGATTGTATTTATGTGTAATCTGTTGGTGTTCCAAATAAATAAATAAATAAATGTAATTGACTATTGTTTTAGGGTTGAAGAATGACTGTTGAAGCTCGATGGATATACATTTCCTATTAGAGTATTTTTCCCTAGTTACGGATTTAATTTAAAACTATTGAATCTCGTTAAATATTATTTATAAAAGAAAGCTTTTAAGTTAAAATTGTTGTTTATTTTAGTAATATAAACAAAATTAATTCTTGTCAAAATTACCTTATCCCTTAACTTTACTTACTGTTGAATAAAAGTTCAACTCTTGCATAGAAATGGGACAAAATGATTTGTATAGATTTGTAATGGTTAGTTATTGAAATAAAAGCAAAAGCTAATGTGTGTAAAAAGCTTTTTAAGCAAATTCAAACACAATATTTATGTCAAATTGTTTATTCATATGTAATCTACTTGTAATAACTTAAAATAGTGAGAACAATTGTAATATTACAATTAATTATTACATAACCAATGTCTTTGATGTCACCATAAATTGTAGTGTAAAACCAGTTACTTAATAAATAAATGTATTTTCACTTAAATAATGTTCTTTAATTTTTATTTGAAGTCATTATGTCAGTCAATTCTGCTATTATTTACTTCATTAGTAAATAAAAAGTAATTTAGAATTTTTGAATTAAATTAATTGCTGGTGTCGATTGTTGTCTGGTGTTGATAGACTTCAACAAACAACACAAACAACAAATCATGGCTATGAAATTATAAAATAATAAATGTGGTCGCATAGCAGTTTCAGCATTCTGTGGTATATGCGAGGTAGACTTCATCATCAGTATTTAAACAATTTTTAAAATTTTATCAGAATCTGGCTGTTCTAAATACTCCAGATTTCATTTAGTTCTCTGGTTCTTCAAGCACATGGAATTTTTTACTTTAAGCCTTGGTCATATTGGTAATAATAATAGGACAGAGAAATTACCTACTACTATTTTAATTATAAGACAATCAACACCAAAAATGTTAAAAAATCTTCGGTGGTACACTTCACTTTTGTTAGAAAAAGTTCAGAAAGTCATATAAAAATTAAAGTTTAAAAGATTGTGCAGCGTTGAGATACAATCTTAAAATTAAAGTCATATATTATGTCACTTATTTCTGTTAAATGATAAGTGTTATCAACAAATGGAGTTTTGCTAACTATTTGCATAATTTAACTTCTATTGTCATGTCAGACATATAAATATGCCATTCATCTTCGCGGATTCCAATTAATTTGTCATTTTGTAAGTTAAGATTTTTGTCATAATAAGTAATTAAAGTAGTCAAGTTTTTTGTTAAAAGTGTCATGTTGTTACGTCGTCTTAAGCGTCAGTTCTGTCCTTAGACTACAGTCAGTCAGTCATCTAAATGTCGTTTGGTCATAGTTCGTCGTTAAGTTGGTGTAAGGTGTAGTCAGTCCACAGTCAGTCATAGATCTGTACCTTTTTCTAATTTCGCCAGTTTATATCTCAATTTAAATGTCTCTAAAAAGAATTAATTTTGGTTATTATGTTCTGTTATTTTTGTCAATTTAAGCGTCAGCATTGTCATTAAGTCAGTGTCAGTATAGTCAAGGATTTTATCTATATAAATAGCAATTATTGTAGGCTATTGTTGATGCCAGTCGGTATCGGTCTATTAGTCCTATAATATTCAAGTCACGTAAATCATATTCCAGTCTTTGTATTGTATTGTCTATTCATGTAGGTAAAGTATTCGAAGTCCAAGTCATCAGTCAGTCGTGTTCTGTTCTATTAGGTCCTATATTTTCGTTATAAAGAGTACAGTCGGTAATTTCTATAGAAGTTACAGGTTTTAGTTGAATAAACAGTCAGCCAGTCTGCGTAGTTTCGAATCATAAAGAAAGTTAAGTATTGGTCAGTCGCAGTTATATTACATAGTCTTAGTCTCAAGTCATATTAACTTATAAATAGTCAGTCATTAAAAGTCAGTTAATAGACAGTCGTGATGGATGTCCTTTCCTAAAAAAAATTCATTTTACTACATTGACGTTCATCACATTTGGCAGAACGAGCTACTTAACCAGGCAACCTAATATTGTCCTAAATTCCTCAATTGTTCTAAGATCTTCCTGGTCGTCGTCTCCTTAAGGTGCCGAAGACCATTGGTCGCGGTATTTCCCTTAGCGCATGAGGATCCGTAGTTATCATAGGCATTTGATGTGGTAGACCGTCGGGTAAGTCGGATTTCTCTTCATATATTGCCCACTGGGATGGTCTGAAAGGAGGAAAACATTTTATTTACACATTATTCCTATCTTCTACATACTTATTTATATCTTCTACATTAAAATTATCACTATCGTTTTATTTCTTAATACTTTTATCTTCGCTTCGGTATAAAATACTTTTTCCATTTCCTGTGATACAAATATGATAAAATGTCTTTTCTTTGTGTCATAAACAATTTAATTACAAATGTTGGATAAGTAAGTAAGTATAGTCCTGTATAAGCAAAACTTAAATTTAATTACAAATGTTGGATAAGTAAGTAAGTATAGTCCTGTATAAGCAAAACTTAAATTTCCAGATACTCACGCATTTTCACTAGGTATAACTTGGAAAGCCACTGATGGCGTTTTTGCTGGATTGGAAGGTTTCATGACTTTAACCTTTGATCTAGCAGTATCAGCAGGTTTGTCCACTTCCTCCAACAGCTCCAATTTATCTATCGATGATCTCTCTTGTATATTCTCCATAACTACACCAGGATGGTTGTAATTCTCTTTGATTACATGTTCAGGATTACCAGCCGCGGATTCATATTTATGTAAAACGTTCTTGATGTAGTAGTATTTATTGTGATTTTCTGGGTTAGGAATGTCATCATCATGTCTTCTAGTCGGTCTCTGTTTGTTCGTATACGGTTTTGTCGCAGTCTCATAGTGGAAAAATGTTGAGAGTTTCATTGTATTCATTTGGTTATCACTATTTTCAAACATTTTAGAGTCATAAGTCGAAAAGTCCTTGCTAATAGTCTTTTCTTCGTCTTTTTTGTCAGTTGTGTCAGGTTTACTCACTTTATTGTCAATTGTCATGTCTCCTTTGTAAGTCCCCACGTACCCAAAAGTCACCAGTTTGTACAGGTTCTCAGTGGTCGGGTTCAAGTTGTCGATTTTGTCAGATTTGTCAATAGTCGCTTTAGGTCTTTGCGTAGTCACAGAGTCGTCATTAGATCGAGCGGAGGAATGGAAATCGTCACTGTCAGTGTAAGAACTGGGTATGTTGCGCCTATAATAGTCACTGTCATAGTCATCATATCTATTGTCAGTGTACTTGTTGTCTGTATGTCGATTGTCAGTATGTCTGTTGTCTGTATGTCGGTTGTCTGTATATCGATTGTCTGTATGTCTGTTGTGATAGTAAGGTTTATTCGGTCGTCTGTAAGTGTCGTCATAGGTCTGATAAGTCACTTTAACTACTTCTTTGTCATAAGTTCTTCTGGTTGTCGGTCGATAAGATTCAGTTGGTCTGGGTACGTAATTTATAAGATACGTGTATTTGTTTACGTTTTCAGTCACTGTGATAACCGGTCTTTTGTTGTAGTTGTTGTAAGGTCTCTTGTTGTAGTTATGTGATAGGTTGTTAATTACCACAGATTGTACGCTTTGCACGTTTTCCTCTTCGTCGTAGTCATTACCATACTGTTTAGAGGGATTATTGTAATTGTTTCTTGTGTCGGGTTTGTTGCTGTCTTCGTATCGTTTGCTCTTGTTTTTAAAATCTAGTTTATCGTCAATGTTTTGTACTGTCGCATTTATTGCAGTCGAATCTTTGTCGGCAGTCAATTTGTCTAAGTTAACATTTATATTGTCTTCGTCTTTTGTAGTCGCGTCTGTCCTATTGAGTTTATTGTTATTATTAGAATTTGGTGTCGGAGATAGCTTTTGAGTAATTTTATATTTATCGAAAATATTGTCAGTCAATTCTTGACTTATCTTAGTCGTTGTATTAGGTTTTGATGTAGTAGTCGTCGGTTTCGTCCTTTTAGGTCTCTGTGTTGGTCTTTTGGTTATAGGTTTTATAGTACTTGGCAATTGATTATTGTCAGCTCTGTCAATATTATTATTAAAATCTGTATTAAGTTCTATCCAGGGTGAAAGGTCAAAGTCGTTGAGTAGTCCGTTATGGCAGGATATTCTTTGATTGTCAGGGTTGTCAGGGGAGAGGAAGACGAAGGGTTGAATACTGTCAATAGTGTCTAGAGTATGACAAAGGACTTCCGCGAATGAAGTTCGTCGTATTTGTTGAAGTTGGGCTGGTGTAAAGGATGAATCGAATCCTCCGTTTTCATACCTGCAAATAAAAGGAAATGATAATATACTGTCTTTGTTTGTCAGTTAAATAACTTTGAATGTAAAAACTTTACCAAAATCGATCTCCTTTCCGAAAATTGGAGAATTGTTGAGCGATAACGCAAGCAAATGTTGGACCGACAAGTCCTCCGATCACAGGTCTTTCCGCCATTCCTCCCGTGAACAAATCGATATCATCAATGTGTCTATAAAAAACAAAAATATTAATACACTGAATACTTGTTTCGTATGTGTACAAGAATTACGACAGATGTGTGTACCTGTACAAATTTTCCATTTTTCTTACTGTCCTTGCGGGCATAACCCTGTGCAAATCTTCAAAGTCTCTGATCTCCGACAGTCCACAAGGTTCTCTCCATGTAGTGTATGGCGGTACACCATGATCTCGTCCTCTCTGAATGTTAATTGCTGCCAAATCCATCCCAAATTTGAACGAAGGCGTTTGAAAGAGGTGATTTGTCAGTTCTTCTGTGATAAATTCGTCGCGTTTCTGAATAGGCTGATTGACCATGCCGAGTAGGAGTCTGTCTACAGCACCCATGCTCCATATGTTAGATGGATTTGTAAGTTCATTATGAAGAGAAACGTCTAAAAATTTAATTTAACTATTATATGAACTGTGTTTTTCACTTGGAAAAATTCACTATTATTCAAGTAAAAATACTTACTGTTATTGATAGGCCGATGGAATCTGTCGAAACGTACCATAGACGGCTGAACCAAACTATGCCCAAATCGAAATGCGGCTGATCCAAAGGAGCTGGCGGGACTTGGATTAATTTTGGGATCATACCCTCTGTAGTAACCTTTACTTTGAGGTTCCAGTTCAAAGAGACGCATGACGTCTGGGCCTGTGGAACGCACAATTGTTCTGGTTACTATGTGTTAAACGAAGTCCGGATTGAAGTGTTTTTAATACTGAGATATTTAAGCATTTAAAAGTAATTCACATTCGTGATAGTGGTGCTATGTAAAAACTTAAAAAACAATTTAATTTTTCCGTTCGTTGGTTAAATGGTTAGGAAACCATTAGGAATGTAGGAACATTGACTCCTAATCAGGACTGTTCAAAATTTATTACTTATAATGTTGACGCTAACCTAATACAATGGGCAAGAATTCTCTATAAGTAATGTGTTGGATCATGGCTCCCACGATTTTACGTGTCTCCTGATAGATCTTCTCATCACTCCAATGTGGATTCAAATGTGCCAATTCTTGAGCCATTCTAGAAGAAAAAACAACATTGTTACTCCAACTCGATTTTCTTAGCGTCAAAAGAAAAGCGCAAACTTGACAAGTTTACCTGTTATGCTGCCTTAGCCAAACAATATGTGCAGCCACAAGTCCTGGATGTTCGTTGACCCTGGCGTCGCCGGACTTGAAGCAATCGGTAGATACAGCGCCACCACGACATAGCTCGTCTTTGCTATCTGGTGGTAACAATGGGCGACGTTGTTGCACTCTGCCGTACTGTAGCATCCCTGTTAATGAATATATTTATAAGTTGCAATAAATCGATAATATCCATTATTATTCTATAATATATTCCTCCGGATTCTTCAAGTATGAAGGTTTGCTTAGGATGTTTTACATCACCACCGAGAGAGGGATAACAAATTAAATTAAAGATCGAATTAAAAAGATTAATAATAGGTGGAAGGTAGCTTACCGTTCCTAAACAACCTTAGTTTATCAGACTGTCGAGCAGAGCTGGCGTAAAGTGGTGATCCATCAATGTAGGCAGAGACCTGATTGAGTTGCTCCCTCCAACCCAACGCGCAGTCATCGCGAGGAGCTGGAGACGACCGCACGAAGTCCAGACATCTAACACCTCGGGGACCGTAAAATGGATCTTTTGGCGAAACCGCTATCGGCATGCATTCTGGATGCTGTGTGAAAAGAAAACGCAACGTTAAGATTAAACTTCTTATCGTTTATTAAAAAGATTTTGATCTGAAAAATAACAAAATAAACTATCGATCTCACCATAAATTCTTTAGAGACAAAATCTCTTCCACCATCTTTACAACATCTTGGTACTGATCCGTTGAAACCTCTCGACTGTGAGGATGACGTTATGTCATGGTCGAGGAACTGACCCCACTGCATTAGCAAGTGAGTAATTCCGGGACTTTCCACATTTTGATCCTCGTGAATTAACGAGCTGATCTCTCGTGCTGAAGGAAGTGGGTTGCCGAAAACTGATCTTCGTGGAGCTTGTATGCCGTCAGAATAGGATGGAGAAAGAAACCGTTGGACTGGGGTCATGGTGGAGCCCCATCGGGGGCGACTTAGGTTGTTGCATGTTCCGTCGTGAGTTCGATATCTGAAAAGACAAGCTTCTCTTTAAGAAGTCCCATAAAAGAAGAAAATCGAAAATAATAGTTTCAGTAGCTAATTGATTTGATTTAATTGATAACTGATATTTCAATGATCAGTCACAATGTGAAGTCGTAAGTTCAGAACTCGTATAAACTGACCTCTTAGAAGCTGGTGGACATTTAGGAGGTCCCTTCAGAGGGCAATGCTGCAGCAGCGGCGACTGACGCAGCGCGCTCGCAGTTGGAAACTGTGGTTCTTCTGCACGTCCTTCGAGGCCATCACTGTCTCCGCTGGAACAACAGAACTAAATATTAATAAAAAGTTTCGAATGAACCGCAGTAATTACAAAACATGTGCGTATTCCAAAATTCACGACGATAGTTTTAAACATCATAAATGCTAATTTGTGAATATCAACAGGTATCCTATTATTGACATTCAAATTCATTGTTTCGCTTTATATTTGACCATACTAAACTTTTACTAAAGAAGCCATAGGAAAGTAGCTATCGCTGTCTTTCCACAACGACTTTCGATTTCGAAACGCTTTCGACTTGTTTTCGATAAAAATATGTAATTATTTACATAAGCAGCCAATAAAGGTAAGTGTCCGTTTCACATTTAACTCCGGGAGAAAGTTATATTTTCTTGTAATATTTTATAGTAATACCTCATCACAACCATTTCTAATAGTAGGTACCTATATTCAGCAATGTTACATATTACGTTAAAGATTGTATACATATAAAACACAATTCTACACGGCTACTTATTTTTCAATAAAGTAAAATTTTTCATCCTTCCGCTGTGTCTTCTAATTAGCTATAGTAAAATCTTACATTTTCATTTTTCTTCAATCGTTCTTCTTCTCTTCAAAGCGAGAAATCGTTATATCTGTACGGTGGCCATTTTAGAGACAAAATTTCTTAATATTTTGAAACCTATCTTTTTAATGTGTCCTTTTGATTATTGATTGTTTACATAACCCATAAAACAACGAATTACATACAGCTTGTAAAAATAAATAAACATCGTTTATTGGCATTAATGATGCAGGTTTTATTAAACGAAAATTGATCCAATATTGGACAATTTTTTTTTTGAACAATGTAATCTTATTAAAATAAAGTAGATTCTGTAGATATGATTTATAAATGATACCTACGGTAATTTCGTGCCGTAATTTCAAAATTACACGAGTTCATTGACTTGTAACTTTCGATGAAAAGAACTCTAATTTTTGCAGTCTTCACGTCATCTTGAATGTTGTCTATAAAGATAAAAACGGCCACGGCTGTAGGAAATAGTAATGAATTCATTGTACTACAATTGTACTCATCTGCGTAGTCGTGCGCCTGGTTTTAAAAGACACGTTTGTCCATAGCAGTTGTAGTGCCATTCGGAGCTTTAACTTAGACATAAGTCTCATGTGCCTGTAATTACAGCAGCATCCTTCAAAACCGAAATGCAGTAAAGCTCACATTACTGTTTAGCGGCAGAAATAGGTAAGGTGATACTTCCCCGAACGAACTCTTTCATAAAGAGTCTTATTGCTACTAAAGTACCGGCTATGATGGCCGTTTTGACGTTCGTCCGTTCATCACGTTTCGTATTAATTCATAACTACGTTGAAGGAGCTTATTGCTACACATTGTTGTCAATAGAGACGTGCGGTAAAATGTATGGAATGTATAATTTTACGACAATCGACTCGGCATTTGTTTTTCGAAACTCGAAATTTTTTCAAATGAAACCTAATACGATCGCTGGCCAGCACAACTTCTACCTCCGGTAAACTCGCGTCAAACCTCAATGCAAAACAAATCAGTTTCGAATTGACAATATAATAAGTAAACATTTTTATTTTCCTTTCATTCAAACTTTTTAATCAGCTACCCTTTGCAATACTAGTCACTAATGTAAAAACTTATAGATGCGACTCGCATTTGATTATATTATTTTCGATCATGAATTGAGATTTGACCTCGCAATTGTAATCTGTCAAAACAGCCATCATAGCGTGCCGGTACTGTAAATTATTATTCATTTAGTAGAAATCGTAATTAGTAATTTATTGTTTTTGGAAGTATTAATTGTCTAATTAATTTCGTTGAGTTTATTAAAGATAATTAAAAATAACCGTTTAGTTTCGGCGAGTAATTATATTGCTACTACTAATGAGGCTAAGAGTTAGGCCGGGACACGCGGACTAAATTGCAATATGTTGTAAAGTAGTGAAGTTACCTATATTCCTATGATACGTGTTCCCTTTACAGCGTGTCGGTTCTTTCCGATGTCGGTTCCGCCCGAAAGTTAACAATCCTCATAGAAAAATGGGTGGAAACGACATCGGAGGAGTCGAAAATGGGGCATAGAGCTCATGGAGAGCAGAATTAAAAGATTGTAAATACATTCCTTATTAGCAAATTCCTTGAATGAAAATTAGGCGACTCTTATTTGATATTTGATACAGAATCTTACCTACATTTGTTTCAGAGAAATCGTATCAACTTCAAAATCAATTCATGCTTATTAAAGAACTATAAATCGATTAACACCTTTCCACCTTTCCAAAGCGCAAAGAACGAAATCAACCATGTCTAACAACCTTTCACACAATTTACGACTTTCTAACAACTTGTTTACACAACCCAAGTGTGCAATATACCTTAATAATTTTGTTGTGCATTTACAGAGTGAGCTGAGCGTTAAGAGGGAGCATGCCAAAAAAGTTTTGACGTTGGCTCCGCCCACATTTGTGAAACAAATATATGCCTGAAGTTCGCGTGACATGCGACAGGAGATGTTGAATTTTGCGCATTAAAAGTACCAAATTCGTTTTAGCGGAATAACTCTAAAACTAAAGGGATTAAAAAAAATCCGTAGTCACAGTTGTCGATCATGCATAAATATAATTAATTATCTAATTTTTGTCCTAATAACCTGTAGCATTTCGAGGATGAATCGAAAAAATGTGGAAAATTAGAGGTCATTTCGTGATTTTTATCTATCGAGGATACTTATTGTTTTATGTTTCTGATTAGTGTCTATGCTTGAATATATCGTGTAGTTACTCATACAATATTTTAGTTTTCACTTTAAAGTGGATATACCCCTCTAAAATCAAATCGAAGATTAGGAATTTTCCTCTGCTCCCTCTTAATAAGGTGCACGTATAAAGGACATAACACAATTGATTATTAATAATTTTTTATAACTTTTTTATTAAAAAACTGACCTCAAATGTTTGTGGAATTACATCTATTTGCTAAGTTTTATTGAAATCGGTTAACGGAAAGTGGGTGAAATCCAATAAACCGGATTCATCCCCTAAATTGCCACTACAATAGATTTTTCAAATTTGTATGGAACCACTACTAAGGTAACCTCTTTCTAACAAAAAAGAATCATCGATATCGGTTCATATACCGATGGTTTTCTAGAATATTTGCCAATGTAGAAATTTAACTTTTCTAAATTATCACGGGTCTGGATGTTTGTCGTACCGTCGTTTTCCATGACACAAGTGCTTTTTTTTTCAAGTTACTTACCTACTTTGGAATCAGAGGAACGTGTATGATGTTGTCTGATATTATTTATTTGTATTTATTTTTGATACAATGGATGAGTTTATTTCCACTGTATTTAATTCTTAAAACTAGTCTATTTGTGCGTATAAACCTACTAATATAGAGAATCTTATTCGTCCGCTAGGTCAAGTCTGCCTCTATTTAAGATACTGCTTTTCTCCGAAAACAGTGTTTTATACTGAATACAATATACATATATTATGTATATAGACCGACTAAATTTTAATAAAGAAAATAATGATCTGCAAGAAGTACATAGAAAAATTCGTAAGGTTCGCTAGTTGTTTCGTGGCTTGATTGGTATAGGGCCAGACACGCATTGCTGGACGATACTGGTTCGAATCCAGCCGCATCGTAGGAATTTTTTCTTAGTGTTCGATCTTTGTATTATCTTTGTAATAATTATAACAAACTGGTTACCTATCAGTAGTTCGAAATGACATTTTCTAGAATTAACGTTCGCTCGAATTTCCATAACTTGTAAAGTAATTTTGTGAGGAAAATGTTTTTTTTAAACTTAACCGAACCTAATCGTGTCTTTGCGATAAACATCCAACATATCCTGAAAGAACAACGGTTTCGTTATAATTCGGTTTTCGGTGTAATGAAAATTCGACGTTATTTCGGAAAAAAAATTCGAGTTTGTGATACGTAACAAACTAGTGGAATAATTTCACAAAAATTATTTAAAGTCATGGTGGTCGAACATTTGTAACATTAAAAAAACTTAAAAAATTCAATAAAGAATTTAATTCTTCTTCAATTAATTCTCTATTCATTGTTTTCGATACAGTAACATTCTATAAGTTCAAAGTTGATGTTTGACCGCATCCGGTGACCTCCGGAGAAAGCGAAAATCACTTTCGCTCAGAGATTATTGCGTTAACATTACCGTTCGTTCGGTGCGCATACGCATTTAGAAAAGGCATTGTTGAAAAGATGGTTAAGGACAGGTCGGTAAATCATACTCTGTACAATAAAGCATGAAATTCATAACAATAATACGAAATAACCGAAACAATTTCATTCGTAGAATTTTTAAACATCTCTCCTGAAAACTTCTTCATTTTGCAGATATAACCTTATAACATGAAGGGTGTTATAATTCTTTTTATTCTTTTTTAAGAGTCGCTACAACCGCACAACAGTGAAAGTGTGGAATCAATCACTTAGAAAAAAAAAATAGTAAAATTGAGTACATACACCAAACATACACTGTTTACCATGCTATTTCTAAAAATTTTCACGATAAAAATAAAAATACAAACTTACCTCGAAATTTTACAAGAAACCCTTTTTTTACATACGATATCAAGTGACGGGACGAACAAGTCATGCGCCTGATGGTAAGCGACACGCCTGTCCATAACAGTTGCAGCGCCGCTCAGAGCTTTAAATCGCAAAGTTCCGAAGGGCACTGTCACTGCGAACATCAATCACCCTGAGATTTAGGTTGATAAGTCTCATGCGCCTGTAATTTTACCAGCTATTATATTATAAAAGCTATTATATATAAAATTAAATTACCCCAAGTATTAGACGCTTAAAACAGGATATTTATCTATAGAGAATTACTCCGTAGAATCGATTTTAGATTTAAGGGTCGATACAACCTCAAATGGCTTTGGTTGATTCAGCATAACAGTGGAAGTGGAAAACTATATAGTAAAATTGACGATATGCTCTGATTAGTATATGGCGTGAAAACAGGTTTTTTTTTTATATCAACTGAATATATACATTTCATATATACATATGATATACATTTTACAGATGGCTTCAATTTCCTTCGTAAAAAAATAAATTCTGTAAGAAAGCAGTAGCAAAATTAATCGTATTGGTATCAACTCTTAAAGAACAGCGTAATAACGTGATATGAAAAATGACGTAACGACTATGTAATAACATTTATTAAGATTTACCCACCGATTTTTGATGGCCATTTGGAAGAAGGTCCTCATTGAGGATATCCCTAAAAAAGGCCACGTCACAAAAGTACTCAAAAATTAATGTGTGTATGTGTGCACCATCTGTGATGGTATCCAATTATCTAATATTGCTATTCATTGACTTACAATTATATGGACGTCGGGTCCGCGCTGAAAAGTGTCCGAACTTATAGGGCGTTAAAATCGTACACAGAGCGTCATTCACGCTTCAGTCTTCGTTTGTTTCTTCTGACAGCGAAGCAAGCAAAATTAGACAGTACTACGATGACATTACAATTGAAATGCAACGTTTTAGCTTTTTTATATTCCTTTACATGTCACTATGTTTAAATAGGTTGACTTGGGTCATTTTTTTCGTGGTTTTTGTATTATACCCGTCGTCCATTTATTTGTAAGTCAATGTTGCTATTAGTTAATTTGTTACCAACAACATTGTTAATTGTGATAAAAATGCAATTACATTTAAAAACATCGCCATTTTTAAATAACAAAATATAGTCATATTTTAGTTTCTTGTGAAAGTGTTCGTCCAGGGAAGTGTTGCCATCTTACCTATTTCTGCCGCCAAGCAGTAAAGAGAGCATTACTATGTTTCGGTATTGAAGGATAAGGGTGCCGGTGAAATTACAGGTTCATGGGTCTTGTCAAGTTATGTCTCTGAGTGACTCAAATCTTTGCGATTTTATGCCCTGAGTGGCACTGCAATTGTTATGGACAGATGTGTCCATGACTTGATTATTCCGTCACTTGACATCATAAAATAACCGATTGATAGAGTTTGACGACCGCGATTTGTATTGTGGGCGCCGAATGAAGAGGTCCCAGGTTCGATTTCCGGTAGAACCAATATGGAAAATGAATGTTCTAAATTTGTTCTACACTGGGTGTTTAGTTAGTGTACCTACTCATAATGCAGGGAGTTCATTGGTATGATTATTCGGCATAATTAATGTGATTATGTAATTGCCACAGTAAATAAAACACTTGCATTTATTTTTAAAGCCGTTCAAGAAGCCGGAGAGCGTTTTGTAACTATATTTTACGTTGATTAGGAGTGTATTTGAGTATTGTTCGGTGGTGTAGTCCTCTTTCTACAATATTCACATTGATAGAATTGAAGCTGTCTAAAGACGTTTTCTCCGGTACTTAAGTTCCAAATTTGGTATGAGACGTAAGTTGCCCACATACGAGGATAGGTTGAAGCAATTTAGTCTCTGTACGCTGCAGTCACCGCGTCTCGTTAATGATATTGTCACCGTGTATAAAATAATTCATGCAAAATGGGGCTCCTGTGAATTGTTGAGCCACTTCTCTTCGAGGATTGGAAGTAAACGTACACAAAGAATGTTTAATGCGCCGTGTTGTAGTAATAACGTTACTTACAATGCTCCTCTATTCCGCATGTGTCGAGTCTATAACGAAATTAACAATGACAGGAGCTTAGACATATATTTTCAAAGTTATCCCGCATTTTTAAAATCTTGCAATCTTAAGACAACGCAGTGGTAATTTTTAAACCGTTACTTTCGTTTGGTTAATTTGAATTGGTTACTTAAGTTATAATTTATTAATTGTAGTTATCTCCAATCGGAATGTATTGTATTTGTTAAATTGTTATTATTATTATTAGCTGTGTTCAATAATATGACAAAGCTGTGCGTAGCTGTTAGTGGAATGCAGATTTGTTCTATATTTAAGTTAGCAATATTAATTTGTATTAGCAACATAAATTTGTATTCTGTGTCTGTACCAATAAATAAATAAGTAAATGTGAATTGTTACTACATGTTTTGCTGTTGGTGTACCTTTTTATAAAAAATAAAATCATTATTATAGAATTAATTTGATTATAAAAAAATGCACAAGATGCGACGTGCAAAGAAGCGAAACAATTACCTGTAGATTATTTAAAAAATATTATTAACAGTTATTAAATAAATACGAATATGGAGTGTTAAAGCAACCACACACTCTTGTGGGTAAAGTAACATTGTACAAAATCATACAAACCTTCCGCTTCCAAAGTCAATCCCGTGTCAAGTCAGTCACAGTCACGTCACTGTCATCTTGTCACTGTCACTGTCAGAGCCTCATTATTGTCACTGTCAAAGCTTCATAACTGGCTGGAGAGGTATGGAAAAATTTCAGTCTTGAGAAGAAATATAAATAATTAAGAAGTAAAGTTTTAAATTTGGAATGACTAGAATACTTTGAGTTTCGCGCGCGGTTGAGCGCATGCGCGTCGGTTAGCCATGATAGCTGCGCAGAACTGGGTGCGCGGGGGACGTGCGCGCGTTGAAATACTGCCACCTCTGCGCGCAGCCTTACGATGATGTTGACAAACTGTTAAATTGATTGTTTAGTTCTGGCTGTTTACTGTTGTCATTGATCAATAGGCAATAAGTTACTTTATTTATTGTCTTGTTATAAATTTAGAATCAGCTCTTAATTTGAATTTTTTTTATTGTATGTAGGCACGAACGCCCACACGATGCGGTGAATAGACCACCTGTGTATACGTACCGTGACCATACATCCCGCTTTTAAGCTTCGTGTCCCGCTGTCCACAAAATATTTATCAATGTCTCGCTTTGATAAATCAGGGTACAAGTGACATTTTAAAGTTTTTTTAAAAATGGCGCGAAAGCGCCTAAAATATATAAAGCCAGACTACACAAGATTAGTGACTGTTTTCATTTTTGAGTCTTAAATATTTTTAGTTATTTTCTATTTATTAAAAAAAACTGCTCTGCGGGAAAAAAACAGCTTTTGTTATAGCCATTATAGACGTCGTGTGTCAGCATTCATTTCCAATGCACCTAGCACTGGAAATGAATAACGTGCAACTATCGATTATGCTATGTATATACTCAAATTATCTTGTTCTATGATGCTTATATGAATTTAGTTGTGTTGCCTAGCCGTTATGGTTTATCTTTTAAATTGAAGCATTACACTTTATTGTTAATAGGTTCCTAATTGTTCTATTTACTTATTGGAGGTGTCCTTATTGGATATCGGCGTTGCTGCTTAGTAATTTTAGAGGGTTCTGCTATTCAACGAATATTGTGTTAGGTTTTTACGCAGTTAAAATTTAAAATTAAATAAATTATTTCAAAAGTGATAAATAACTAAAATGATTGAAATGCCAACACGTGCGCGCGTTCCGCTCTACCTCGATTGCCAAACAAACAATTTTTCACATTTTTTTTGTATTTTCAAACAACGGAAAAAAATGGCATTTTCTAGACTCAACAAAAAAAAATAAACAAACGGCAATGTTGGCTCTTGTTTGGTGGAGTGTGAAGCCGATTTAGTTCAAATAATTTTATTTTTCCTATTGACTGTCACTGTCACCTTAAGTAAGTACTTACTTTATCTACTCAGATTAAAATTTAAAATTATTGTAAGTTACGTTTATACGCGCAAAATTTTGGTAGTAATAGAACTCCTTGTGAAAGAGTTCGTCTGAGAGGGAAGTACTACAGCTTACCTATTTCTGCCGCCAAACAGTAATGTGGGCATTACTGTGTTCCGGTTTTGAAGGGTAACAGTGCTGGTGAAATTACAGGTACCTACATGAGACTTATCAATCTGTATGTCTCAGGGTGACGGGCGCAGTGGCAATATTCCTCAGATCATTGCGATTTAAAGCTCTGAGTGGCACTGCAACTGCTATAGACAGATGTGTCGCTTAACACCAGGCGCAGGACGTGTTCGACTTGTCACTGGGTATCGTAAAAAAATATATAGGACTTGAGTATAATTTAAAGCTCTAGAAATCATACTCAAGTCCTTGCCATTAGGGACGTAGTTACAGTACTTGATTAGTATGATTTCAAGCTCTGAAAATACGACCCTAATGGTAAGGACTTGAGTATGATTTTCAGATGCTCAAGTCAGGATTTGAGCAGACTTGAGTATGGTTTCAAACACTGGAACTACGACCCTAATGGCAAGGGCTTGAGTATGATTTTCAGTGCTCACTGCAATACTCAAGTCCTGACTTGAGTATTGAGTAGAGTTCTGAAATACGACACTAAGTGTCAGTTTTTCGGCGGGGAAGAATTTTGATGAACGCCAGTTGTGAGATTGCACTTACAAACCCATTTTCTCTAAATTTAACTATTTTGACGTTATCATTCACCGCGAGGCTTAACGAATTTATAATGAAGAACGTAAAGACCAATTCCCAAATAATTTCTGACACAATTAGTGATCAAGGAGTTTCCCTCAACGTCTCCCCTTTTACGTATTACGCTGACATATATAAAGAACTTTTAACTGTCACGTTCACAGAAGTTCGTTAATAATTTAAATTTTAACATTTTTAGGATTGGCTGTAGTCTGTTTGCGATCTTTTCGACCTATATGATACGGATCGTTTTAAGATACGCCAATCACAAGTTTCGCTTTCGCTTGTGGAGGTTAACGGGCACGAGGGGTTATCGAAAGTTGACGCTCTTCAGAAGTAACACTTCATAAATGAATATACATAACTGGTTAACCATGACGGAAAAAAATTCTTCAAATGACAAAAAGCGACGAATTGCGCAAAGCGAATTTCTTTAACAAATTAGTATAAAGACAATGAACATTTAACAATGATCTTACAGTATTGTCATTTATTTAAGAAAAGCCGTAGAGGAATAATATAACTCGTACCTACCAAAAGAGCTTTTATCACATGCAAGTTGTAAAATACGAACTACGTGACGCAAATTCTATATATCGACTCATCCGTAGAACAAAGATCTATGTGCAAGACTACTTGTTTTCAGGACATAGTACATTTCGTTAGTTCTTCTTCGCTGTGGGTGTCAGATCGATCGTTGTTCGATTTTATATTTCCGAAACGAAATTAAATATATAACGAAAATAAAAATAAGATATATAAATTCGCAAAACACCTTTACATAGGTCTTAGTTTGAATAACGAAATTATTATCGTAACGTATTTATTCTCTTTTTGCTAATAATCACATCGGACTTTGTTCTTCGGATGAGTCGATATGTGAAATTGTATAACTCCCCCATTTAGACATAAAAGACTATCAAATAATTTCTTTCGCAGAATAGCACTTCTCTCTTGTAAACTTGTCATTTTGCATATGTCGCTTTAATACACCAACGGTGCGGTTTTCTGGGCATGTACAAAATGCTGGCAATGATGACGAGGTAGCTGTTAAACGCCTACCTGGCAGCTACCTCATGTTTGGTCCAGTTTTTTTGTATATGCATTCAAATTAATAGCTGTTCTTGTGAATTAGTTCGTTCAGAGATAGAAAGAAAGAAGATATCCATAATATTATCGTGTGTCAGTACGCGCAAGTGACGGCGGGCATTTTGATGATTACTTATTATAATACACGTATAATCATTTTATTACCTTGGTTCACTGTAATAATTTCCAATAAATGAATTAACCTTAGAACTAAGTCCAAACTCATGGTACCACGATTTCATTAACTAAGATAAACGATTATTTTATGGCGAACTGTGTACATTTTTACAATAACATTCCGGAGCATATCGCCCTGTTAATACAATAGAGTGTTAATTCAAAAAGTGAATATTTTTAGAATCGATGAAATACAAAATACTCGTCGTCACTCAGAAATACGACGCCCACGTGAAAGGTTATTAAAATGTATGCATACGTTAAAGTTTATTACAGACATCTAAATAATTTCCTACTTGCCAAATATATTTACAAATAAAAAGGAAAAAATAATTTAGTATTTTTGTAAATAAGTAAGGACTGTTTGTGTAATATTTTGATCGAAAAATCATATTACAAAATTGAAGACTACGTGTTAGATAAAGATGTATGGAAAGATGACATGGCTCCAGAATCCACACAAATTTGATTCAAAGTGTATTCCATAGGATTTATTTTTTTGAAAAGAGCAATCCCTAGAGTTTCTTGCTCGTTCTTCTCAGGGAGGTCAGCGTAGTGAACGAGCAGTAGCTTAAATGTGACGTTTTCAAGTGTAAATTTATTTTACCTATGGAATAAATAATCTTTGACTTTGACTTTGTTTTGTCCAAAACTACTCACGAAAAGTTTGTCTTATTTTGAGTTAAGTAGATGTTATATTTTAATTGTATCTTACAATATTCTAACGACAGTTTTATTGACGCGAAGAGAATAAAATTTTACGTTCAGGAACATTATAATCTTGAATTTCACATATTTTCAGTTACAACACTATTGTAACAGCAGTGCGATATATTAAAAAGTCATTATTTCCTAAATTTAAAACTTAATGATGTACGGAAAGATGACATGGGTCTAGATTCCACACAAATTTGATTCAAAGTGTTTTCCATAGCATTTAAGTTTATTTGAAAATTGAAAACTTATTTTACCTACGGAATATAACTCTTTGACTTTTGGGAAGTATCTACTGCCACTGATCGTGGGATATGAAGTGGTTTTATTCGCGATCAGAAATCAATGAACAATAATAATTTTAACGCTGAGACGTACAGTACCTACAGTACTACGCACAGTTTCCTTTCGTTTTACAACTTCCAACAATTATCAGGGAGGTAATAGCATTAGAGTTTCGTGTGGCAGAACGCGCGTGTGACGGCGGCCATTTTGATGATTACCTATTATAATATGTAATCATTTTATTACCTTGGCACACTGTATAATAATTTCCAATGAATGAAATATGTCTCTGACGATAATTTAAATTCACGTAAAAGCAAGTTTCTTAAGTGTTAATGATTTGTTAATGAATAATGTGTATACACCTGTAAATTACTGTACGAGTTTTGGAATAACTCAAAACACTTTATTCATTAGTAATGACACAAATATAGATTGAATACAACAGGAAAAATAAAACATTTTTGTCGTAGCAGTGAAATGGCGCTGACTCAGCATATGCCTAAGTTCCCTAAGGCGCTGGTTTTCAATCAGAACCAACAAGAGGTACTAAATCTAGAAGTTATTTGTAATGAAACACAACAACAACGGAGGCAAATTCGTCATTAAAATAATAAGTGTAATAAAATGTGAATAGTGCATCTAAAGTAGCCTATTCAGTATGTAAGTGAATGTGCGGATTTGAGTATAATAAGTGTAAACGTAAGTAAAAATTATGGTAGTCGTAATAAATCAAAGTAAAAGTGTATGTATTCAGGAAGGCTACGAAGAGTACATGGGGATATGAAAAGAAATATTAATATCAAAACTTCAACAAATTAGACAGATTCTTTTAACGAGAATAGGTGGCGATAGGTGGCGGTAAGGTGTTTTGAATTTTCGCCGTAATTTTATTTCTATGAGTTTGTAGCAGCCTATGTCCGACAATTGACCCTTGAGCAGGTTTTTTTAACATAAAGTTACTTGCTTATCGGTATTCTACAGGATATATTACGGAGAGTGTGAGGGAGAGGGAATTACACGATTTAAATTCCTCCTTTCCCTTTCTATCATCTATATGCTGGGATCCGTTTTGTGGATACTCCAAGGATTAGCACGGAGCGCTTCGCTTCCACATTTATATGGCGAAGCGGCTATGGAGTCGAATTCCCTGCCTGCAGACTTGTTCCCCGAATGGCATAACTTGGACCTTTTCAAGGCGAGAGTGAATAGGCATTACTTAGGTGTGCATGCTCCATCCTGAGGCCAATGCCTCATCGTCACTTTCCATCAGGTGAGACGGAGGTCGAATGCGAACTTATTGTTTGATAAAAAAGAACTAAAAAGTGTTGTGTTCAATGAGTATGTATGTAGTATATGTAGCATGGATCGTGTTCATCCATGTATAATATAATCGACCACAATAAAAGTAAGGTGTAACTTTCTCGTCGTAACACCGTCTAGGCCACGTTACGCGATTGCTCGCGCCCGTGCAATTCACTTTCTACCGGCGCACGCGTAGCCCGTGAACTTGCGGCCTTCCACTGGACATGCAGGTTTATTGCTACTGCATTACGTTATGTATTTTAGTTGATTAAAGGTAATGTTATTGTTTTTATGAGTGACTGTGTTTTTATGAATGAATGTAGGTTTATTCCACTATCTGTAAGTTTAAATGCGTGAGACGATTGCTATAAACGAGGCGTAATTTGATTCAGGCATAAAAATTAATGCTCGGTGGCTGTATCTATCCACAGGACCCTTTATAGTTTTTTTTCCAATACCAAATGCAGTGACGAACAAGTCCTGAGGCTGGTGTTAAGCTACACGCCTGTCTCTAACAGTTGCAGTGCTACTCAGAGTGTAGCGGACAGTATCAATGGGTTAAAGGGTGGGTGCTAACAACGAGTGAGCAAGGCCACGGCAAATGTATTTACAGCTTTTTAATTTATTAGAAAAACACGTAGCTATCAAAGCCAAACAGCAAACAAAAGATAAGAAAAAAGGCGCCAAAACAATCACATTTATGTTTAGAATTTAAATATAAAACAAACTTGAAGACTATAAAATATATGTACGAAAGAGATTTTTTAGCTACTTTTGCGATTCGCTACACAGAGTTTTAAATTACAAAGATTTGAGGGGGCACTGCCACTGCGGCCGTTCTGAGACATAAGTTGACAAGTCCCATGTGCCTGTAATTTTACCCTACAACCTTATACCTTTTACCTTACCCTACAAAACAATGCTCACATCAACAATGCCTGGCGGCAGAAATAGGTAAGGCAGTCAGTACTTCCCTAGACGAATTCTTTAACAAAGAGCTCTATAGCTACTGTCGTGGTTTAAATTATTTATTTATTTATTTGCAAACTTTACAGCTTTTAAATTTGGTTTACAATTCTGAATAATCCACTTACATACCCAATTACAAAGTTTGTCAGATTACAATTCATTTTTTTACGTTACGTAAAAACTAATTCGATGCCAGAAAACAGAATTGTTTATCAAAAGAACAATGTAACAAATTAATAAATAATAAAAAAAACTATGAATGATAGTGAAAATGTGTCGAGCTTATGATGAACTTAAGCAAGGTAATGCTCATCTCGATATTTTTAATTCGATTATTAATTTATACAAGACGCAATTACGAGTATCGCTTGAGTTTTAGCTTTTGATCATTTTGTGTTCTGTTATATTATTATTACTATTATTTTTAACTATTTGCACAAGTCACTGTAAATTTATTAATTAATTTCTTCGTTTTGGATTTGGAGATTGTAGTTTTACACTAACCTAATACTAAGGCTTATTTTATCATGCTGTGTACACTGTTTTTGGAATGTGGTCTAGGCTATTAATGTATCAAACTGTATCTGTTACCACGTGATCTGTTCTGTGTGTGTACCTTTAAAATAAAATAAAATTGAAATACATATTGATAACATATTAAAACTGAAATCTGATGTATTAACTGCCTCCGTGGCCGAACGGTTACCATGCCGGACTACCATGCAGAGGTCCTGGGTTCGATTCCCAGGCCGGGAGAAATATGTGTATGGCCTACATTTATTTCTCTCGTGAGTTTGGGTGTAATTTGTGGTTGTCTATGTGTGTGTCCATGGCACCCGCGACACAGGGTTTCCCTAGTGCGGGGCTATGTTGAGTGTGTGCGTTATTATTATTATTTATTATTATTATTATTAATAGATTCAGACATTTTGTGTGTCTATTTGAATTGGTTACATGAAAAGATTGCTTCTAATGTTCTTGATGATTTTTATTCTTTATTTTGGTATCACATATTCTGTATTTGTTAAAAAAATACGAAATTGGAAAGCCATTCTTCGCCGAATTTTCCATGAGTATGGCTACTAGTTGAAAACTATGACACTTTTATTTTATATTTTTTTTATACAAAAAAAGTTGAGCTTTTGACTTCCATCTCACCTGATAGTAAGTGACGATGAGGCCGAAGATATAGCATGCACACCTATATAATACCTATTCACGGTCGCCTTGAAAAGGCTCAAGTTATAGCGTTCGGGGAATAAGTCCGCAGTCAGGGAATAAATACCACTCTAGCCGCTCGCCATGTAAATGTACGAGTGAAATGCGTCGTGCGAATCCTGGAAATGTCCACAACATGTTTTTTCTGTCCTGTACAAATAGTGGTAAATATACAGGGCATCAGAAATAATAAAAAAAAGGTGACAGAGCAATCTGTGATATTATCCGATACTCGTGTAATTCCTTCACGCATCGTCAGATTCGTGCGAGCGCGATGCAGGAAGGCGCATAACGTAATATGTGAATGACTTCTGCTAACATGCGATTTGTTGCCTTGAAGTAAACATTTTACAGTTACATTGTCGTATTTTCAATAAAGTTTAAATGTGTTACACTTTGACGAATCTCGGTGTGGGTGATTCGATACTCGTGGGTACGCTGAATATTTTTTTTTACTATTTATATATTTTTGCATTACTCACACGAAGATTGTCTTTTGTGGAGCGTGCAACACTTTGCCGTCGTAGGTTGGCAAATTACCTGAGTATGAAAATCCTTATTATTATTTAATATTATTTATTTGTTGAGCATTTGCTAAAGAGCCATCAGCTTAAACTAGTAACAAATAATTAAGAAACTCAAAACGTGCTAACAATTAACTATTTATGCGGATTAAAAAATAATGTCATACAGCCAACTGTCCACTAGCATCAGCACCCGTAATTGCGAGAATAAAAAAAAAATTGTCTATGGAATTACTTATTAACGTTTGATGAAAGGACTCGCTCTGGACCTTTTGGAGGGAAAAGTGTCGTTTTTATTTTGACTTTCAATTATTTTGTGAAATCTAGTTTAAAGTGGAATAGGATAGTGCTATTGTGCCTTAATCGCAGATTAAAACGCGAAATTATACGAATCTCGAACTAGAACACCCGTAGCGGCCCGTTTTAAGGAATCCCGAGTCAATCCAAACACGCCGCCTCAAATTGCCTATCCTCTTTATGGCGGCCATATTTACAGATACATAATTAAACTTCATGTTTAGGCTGATGGCTTTGCCAAAGCCTTAATAAAAAATAAAATAAAAAATACGTTTGATGCACATATACGAAACCTACTTGTTTCAAAAATGGCGGTAAAATAAATGAAAGCACTTTGAAGTTTCTTTTTGTTATTTTTTTGTATTGTTAATATACAAGAAACATAATCAGCCAACAACTGCAATAATATTTATTAATGTGCCTAAAAACAATAACATTTTTCTTTCAGCAATTATCCTATATATTCCTCGTAATATTAATCATTACTTTTTCTATTATATGTATACATTTTCTCGTTCATTCTTTAGTCTTTTATTATTCCCTCGCAATCTTTAAGAAAAGCGTTTTATATACCTCAGCGGGACCGGGGATTGCCTAACTCATATAACACAAGACCTATCCGGTCTCTGCAATAATTTGCTATGTATTTAGTACCTAGTTGTTTTGTAATTATAAGTAAGTAAACAATTGAGGTCGTGTTTTCCTCATTGGCACTCAGAGTAAGTAGAAATAACGAAATATTCTTCAATTCCCTTACAGTTGTGATACATAATAATATGCTGTTTAAATTGAAGGATGGGTCTCTATGGGGTACGATTTACTCGACAACTGTCTAAAAAGAAATCCATTGTTTCCTTTTCTTGCAGATCACGTAAGAAAGAGATGCACGGAATTTAATTTAAGTTTCGTCTGCAAATTCCCTACTTATGTACGTCCTTAGATACGCGACGTGACGCGTATAGTTTTTTTATGATACCAAGACAGATGAACAAGTCGCGACATAAGTAAGCGACACGCCTGTCTATACAGTGGGAGTACCACCCAGAATTTTAAATCGCAAAGATCTGAGAGGCCCTGCCACTGCGCCCATCACTGCCATGTGCCTGTAATTTCACCAGCACCCTTTAAAACCGAATCGCAATAATTCTCACATACCTATGCGGCAGAATTATGTAAGGGGGCAGTACTTCCCTGGACGAACTCTTTCGTAAGGAGCTACTGCTATTAAAAAGTAAAATTTGTCTAGTGTAGCAAAAATAAATGCGCATTTGAGTTGGGGCCTAATTGTGCTTTTTTTGAAACCTCGGAAACAATTCGGGACGTTGATGCTGTCCAGGAGGTGCTACCTAGCATTTGAAAAAAAATCCCCTTATATTTACATAAGCTACACTACAAACATAAGTATATACTTTTTCCTTGTCATTTTTTTGTGTTAATATAATGCGTTTTCAATAATTTTTTTT